TTGCCGAGACAAGATAATGGTTTGCTCTAATCGTAGAGATTAGCTGTTCTATAATACGAAATAATTAACGCGCGGTTGATCGTAGATACTCGGGCCCAATTAAACGGACAAGCGCTGCTGACGCAGGTAATTAACACGGCCGAATGTGCGCCTTACTATGTATCGAAGATAATTTTACAATTGTGCTAATACATCGTGCGAACAACAATAAAATTATGGGGTACTTCCCGAAATCCTTGGTACAATTTTTCAGAATTTTTACAATTTTGATTTAATGATATTATGATTTTCCAAATTAGCCGTCAATGTATCGAAATTAGAACCGAAATGTGCAGAAATTGCAAGTTTAAAGGTTACGAGAGAATCGGCGGTGGAGTATTTTGGGTGGAGGACTTTTGATTAATAATCCACTACATAGACAGGATATGTAGATCAGATTTAAAGATTGTTACGAGGGAATTACATAAATTTATACCTCGCGTAACATTGAGAATGTAAAATTAAGTTTGCAATTATAGGATTACTCGTTCTAGAACCTACCGGGTTTTTTTTTCCCAAGTACCGTTATTATTTTTAGGATTTTCTCTCGTTTTATCGAATTGTATATTTTATTATTTATTTGTTTTTTTTTCTAATCGTGTAGCATATATGATTGTCGATATAGAATATCGTGATTTTTCAATCAGGTTCGTTATTATTATGAAGCAATCGACATTTAAATTTTAATTGATTGAAAGATAGTAATCACACTGTGCAATTTCTGATTGTTACTAGAAAAGCATCCACGTGCAATTTCACGTATTTTCAGGTCTACGATTCGTTATGTTGTAGGAATGTACTATACGTGATCCGTTTAGTATTATTCGTTTTACACGTTTTATCCGTTTTACATTTCAGTAATTCTATTCGCGAAATGAAATTCCTTTAGAGCAACACTCATACACACTACCGATTTATCAGCCAATTGCATGTCATGTGAGCCATGTAATCCGATCATGATATAAAATCGCGAATTATCTTTGCATTAACAATATACGACATAAACGGCCACTTAATAAAATAATTCATAAATTAATAAGAATGATATGAATTCTCTTTGTAAAAAAAGTTTCTTTTTCCATTTCTTTCGTAATGACATAAATTTTTCGCACAGATATGGATTGAAGTATGCAAAATCTAAAATCTCTTTCGTTTCCGCGATTCTTTCGATATTTTTAATGACACGCATCCGCGCCAAAATGAGATGTTAAAACCCTGCCGGAATTTTGCGAGCTATGCCCGCGAGAGTTGCAGGATGTTTAACGACGGACAGAAGGAGGGTTCATACGATGATGATCCGCTGCTAGGACGAGAAGTGGATAAACCTATCCTTCTCTTTCCGAACCTTCTCCGACTTCTCCACTCCCGTAATGACTAACAATCCCTCCGTGCGGGTCGCTGGAACAATGGAAACAATACAGTGATATGAGAAAGCCGGTTTGTGCATTGTCGGACAAACCACAGACAGGATTCCTCATTTTCCCCTCTTTATATATCCATTCCGATCCGTGTATATCTACCATCTATTCTCTCTGTTCTTCCCTCTCGACGCGTTTTGTACCTCCCTAACAGATATGTTCCAGAGCGTGGGAATCCCAGTCTTAACTTTTCCATCCTTCTCCCTTTCGTTACCTTGGTCGGAGGAAAGAATCGTGCACATTGCTGAATGAGCCGTTGATTTCGGTGCGAAAACTGCTCCGTTCGACGGTTCTTTCGCTCTTTGTACGCGCGTCGACTCCACTAAGGGCTTTACCTTCTCATCCTTCCCTTTCCTTCGACAATTAGTCAGCGACGCTGGCTATTTTACCCACGTCGTCATTATTTGCGCTGATTTTTCGAAATCGCGAAGGATAAGATTGAAAGCTTCGGAAGTGATTCAAGGGATACTTTTTGCATTATTCATCAAAAATATAGAAGTTTGTATGAGTGGATAAATGTGAAATAAAATGTGTGTTTATATATGAGGGTTATTTAAAAAAACACACAGAACTAAAATCTGTAAGTTTAAAAGAAATATATTAGAAATAATGCGTATATAAAACGAATGCAAAATTTTACATATTTTATGAATAGCATAAAAATAATTTTGTATAAATTTCCTCAAAGTTTTAATTTTTATCTCAAGCTTTGCTCAAAATTATGACTATCTACAATCTACATAAAATTCTTAGCCATCGTATAAAAATATAACATTATTAGAGATAGTTTTTAGTAATACGCGAGGTATTTGAAAAAAACTGTCGTCGATTTTTTGGTCTAATATTCTAATGACAACAGTGTTGTTTTACGAAAGGATACACCGGGTAGTCCGGATGAACCGTGAATAACAGTGAGCACTTAGAGAAGGAGTAGATTTCCGAAGGATGTTGACACAAAACATTATACGGTTGGTCGCCGCTTTCGCCCTCGTGTCTTTAACGGTTGCCGGCTAAGAAGCACAAGTACGCGTCTTCGGGGGAGCAAAGGGGAGGATACGAGATACGCTCGTAATGACGTTGAGGGTTGACGGGTTGTCACGGTAGTGGTCCATTTGGCGTGTATTGCTTACGATAGCCGTAGCGATGTCTCTTCCCTCTACTCAGCTCGGTCCCGCTGAGTGCATCCAAAGAGGGTGTACAGTCGAGTACGTGTCAGAGTAGATGCAACTCTTAGCCACGCGTCCGCTCATCCTCTCACTCGCCGTTCATTGTTTAGCATTTAGCTATTTCGATGAGCCAATCTATTTCCAGTGTATTCGACGAATTAATCACTTTTGTTTTTGCAATTTATTTTTCATATAAATGTATCAGATATGTGAATTCTCTTATGATATTATTTACGTGTCAAAAAACGATGGATATACAAAATATGTATATTCGCATAGTTACAATAACATCCATCGATATATAGATAAAAATTTACATATATCCGGAATCGTATTTCTGATATTATATTAATCCAGGGAGATTCATTAACGATTAAATCGCCAGACGGCCGACGTACGTCGTATAGCGGCGGAATTATAACGCGAACTCTCTCGGAACTCTCGGAAGATGAAGAGTTAACTTTTTATGCGGGGCGTCTTCCTTCCTTCCGCGGGGAAATGATTACGAAGAACCCAGAGTAAATGTAGGTCACAAGATATATCCAATCGCAGGTCTGCAGCGCGCACTGGCTATTCGGTGGAGTGTACGGGACGTTAAGATTCGAAACTCTACTGGCTTTGAAGAAAGAGAGACAGCGAGAAAATGAGGAAAAGGGAAAGAAAGAGAGAGAGAGAAGGGTAGGAGAGAGTGAGAGGATGGAAAGAAAGGCGGAGAGAGTAAGGTAGGAAGTAAATCTTTGCCAGGTACTACAGCTTTTATAGGAGAGAGAGTCCACGATTTTCTTTTTCGAGAAAACGATAACTTTCCGGATTCGAACGTGCTCGTCCGAGAGACGACGTCACGAGGGTCGGGAATCCTCCCCGATTACGGAGGAACGTTGCTTTAGCTTATAGAAGATAAGTAATCAAGATTTAAGCTCGCCCGGATAGTGTAAGGAAGGGAATTGCCAACGTAAGCGCTCATTGGAGATTCGACCAAAATAACTCTCGACGTAGCTTCTTTCGGCTACATCCGGTTACTAAGAGCACCTTGGCCTCGAGCCTGCATCGTGCAGATAAAAGCACGCAAAAGTTTTACTAAACCACAACAATCTCTCTCTATTATTATCTACCTCTTCTCTCTCGTAAATTTATAATTGATACATAAAATAATATTATTTATATAATTGTTATATTTCGTAATAATATAATTTATAAGTGTAAAATTATAATTTTATAAAACACAAATTTTAAGGACAATTTTTTTTTTTATTATGTTGGAGCTTTCGATACTTATAATTTAGCAGCAGTATGAAAGCTGTTCAGAATATTGATAACTATTCTGATTTTTTTATTACGATGATGTCCGTAAACTATCTTGGTTTTTTATTTATATCTCTAAAGTTTCGGAAGTAGAGCTTTGGACTTAAAATTACGAAGTAACTCGCCAAATATATTCCGAGATTGCTAAAATGTCGCAATCTTTTGACGAACATCGATCGTGATCTCGTGCGGGAACACATGCGGAAACACGCCGCGAACGCGCGTGTCATTCGTTGCACGTTCTCTGCCCTATCCAGGGTTAGTCAGTACTCGGTTGGGCTGGCTTCCAGATGAGCAATGCTGGACGGAATGTGGAATACATCGGAAACGGTCCGGCAACTCGGGTGATGAATGGTTAACAGGCTTTGGAGGAGAGGGAAAAGAGGGGTGGGAGGAGGAGAAGGAAAGGGTGGATGGTGGCAATGCGCTCCATTTATGGAAGCTATTACGGCCGAATTTCAGCGTTAAATGTATGATTTATGGTCGGGTGTATTATCTTCGTTCATGTCCGTTGACGATACAGTGCACGTCCCACCGCATCCAACATCCCTCTCTCTCTCTCTCTCTCTCTCTCGCTGCTGACCTCCCCCCGAGAAAATTACTTTGCATTCGGTCGGCGGTGAACGAAAAATCCACAGCCGAGTGTCCATTCGCTGACACCACTGCCGTGATTAATGCATTTCTGATTGTTATTCGTAATACTCTGGAATTTATGGCGCGTTAGAATTACGAAATAAACAGCGCACGCGCGCGTGATTGCGAGCTGGAGATGCAGCTCGCCCGAATAAAGATTGTCGACAATACCGGGGCGTATTTTCCGAAATCGCGAGAAGAACGCGGCATCGTTGTAAATGGCGATATTTTTAAAACGTATTTAAAGCTGTATAGCCGTCGCGCGGTGACGTGGAATAAATGAATGAATAGGGCAAAGCGGACGGCAGAAATCCGCGAGATACGTATGAAGGAGGAGAGACCAAGGGAGGCGGCGTAATCTTAATTGAATGTAGTTAAGCGGCTTTCCCGTTTCTCTTTGCATCCGTTAATACATATCTGGCCTCTTTCTCTGCCCTTGCAGCAGGTTCCTCCGGCGCCTCGTACGAAACGCAGGGGCCCAGTTTTGTAACGGAGCCGTCGTCCAGGGTGGAGTTCACCAACGTGAACGGCGGCCGGGTGGATTGCACAGTACGCGGAAATCCGCTGCCGACCGTCGACTGGCTGGGGGCGGACGGCGGCAGTATAACGAGCATCCTCGGCATAAGGCATGTCCTGGGTAACGGTACGATATATTTTCCCGCCTTCGAGGCCGAGGCCTTCCGGCAGGATGTCCACTGGGCCATTTACAAGTGCTCGGCCGTCAACAGCGTCGGGGCAGTTGTCAGCAGAGACGTCACTGTCAGAGCAGGTACGTGCCGAGCGAGCGAAACTTCTCGCGCTCGTTATCTTTATCGTATGCCGTGTGCTTCCTCGTATTATTCTCGTTATACTCTCCGGCATCGTCGTCGTCATCATCGTCGTCGTATCCTCTGCACGTAGATGGACCACCTCGTCGTGTCGTAGACGGGCGTGTCTGTCCGCAGACTCACGCTCACGGTTCACGATCGACCCTCTAGGCTACGGCCCGTGAGATGAAATTTCCTTCCCGCACACGTTTACGTATCGTATCGGACCGACCGTAGTCGACGAGTTAAATAACGGAGCTCTCTCGCGACAGGATCTGCAGCGATAATGGAATGGCTAAGTAATTAGAGACCGCGATCTCTAGTATTGCATTTAAACAAAATATACAAGAGATTTTTTTGGGAGGATATAATCCTCTCTGAATTATTCAAATGTTAGATATTACACGTTGAAAATTATAAATAATTTATTATTTTATCAAATGATATATCGATGAATAAAACGAGACCTCTTTTTTAGTCTTATTTAAAAATTTACTTGAAAATTTGCATTTCGCATATATCTGGGTTTCAAGTTTAATGATATCGCGGTCGATAATTTAAATAACGAGATTTTCTTTACGTGGCATAAGCTAGATTTGATCTCATTGGATAAGCGATGTAAGGATTTTTAACATATTCTAAATTTTTATTCTATACGCGTACACAAAAGAGGATTTATATCCAAGAATCTCCACAATATTTATTTTTTTTTTTTGCGACGCGAATATACATAAGCATAATCTGTATTGGGCGATCATGGCACTTAGTCACTGAAATCGTGTTAGCGAGAGAAGATCCGTCTCTCTACGGATTTCTTTTGTTCGACGACGCGATACCTTCCGAAACTACGGGCGTCTACAAGAGTATCGAGGTAGAAAACGGCAAGAGAGAAAGAAGAGACGGATAAAATGGAGTAAAAGGAGGCCGCGAGGCGCCTTAAAAATAGAGCTTCCGCCGGGTCAACGAACCGGAAGATATCTTATCGACCTAATACGCCCGTAAATCATCGTCGCGTGAACGCAGCCCATACCTTTTCAGATTCATGCCTGGTGCCTCCGCCGCGTCAGCTCCTAGTCTCCGCCTCAGCCATTTTCTTTTTGCTCATCTCCTTCACGGTTTCATCCTGCCATCTCCCTCTTCCGCTACCCCGACTTCAGCGACTCTTTCTTCCGCCTTCGAGAAAAATCTTTCGGGGGTGCGCACGCTCCATTCTCGGAAACAAAATGGATATGATTGCGCAATCGCTCGAACATGTGGCAGGTTACCGCCGGAAATGTCGCTCTTTTCGTTTTTTTCACCCTTTCAGCGATTGCAGTGCGTAATCGCGATGCTATGTCAAAAAATGAAAAAGGTACACCTGGGTGTACCGGGGGTTATTTGTCTCGGTAAAGGCAGCTTCGCATCACAGTAAAAGAAAGCTTTTAGGAATTGATGTAAGACAATAATTTGTTAAATCTGTTTCAATTTCTCTCACGAGAAATTCCTAGTTTATTGATTATTTCGTAAAGGCTAGAAAATTCTACGTCTCGTATTCGCTTTGCTTGATATAACATATCTGATTCGCCACAAATATCTACATCTACAGGAGATGACTTCCATCATTTAATATTATCTACCAAATTATGATATAAATAAATCGTTAGACTTTTCTTGACGTGTTTCACAGTGATCGTCCTAAATGATACGAAGATCGACGATATAAAAGATGATGAGAGATGTGGCAGGAAATAAGCATCGTCAAAGCATCGTTTGCAAGGATGTTCAAGCACGGGCTCGTCTCTCGGGACGATGTATTATTTTATGACATGCTCTCGGTATATATGTATTAATATATATGTACTAAGAAGTCGAACAACGAGCGCGAATAATGTCCCGCGGCCGTTCGCATTTTCTGTTTGTTCGTGTTCAACATCGGTGCGCACGTTGGTGAACATCCGACCGAACGATTTTCGCTCGTTATTTATTTCGGAGAAGAAGCGAACGCGCAAGGAACACGAACACCCACGAAGGAAGATTCGCAGTCGCTGTTCTTTGCCCGCTCGTTCGATATATACGTGCTATCCTGGAAGTAAAACGTTGCGACAACATTACCTCGCGTATACCCATGCAGAATGTGTCACCTTGTACTGAGAAAATGAGGAAGTTTAACGACCGCTCGCAGGACTCTTTTATAAAAAGTACAGGAACCGAGTCTTGCTCACTTTTATGGTGCAGATAGTCACATATTTCCCGTGCCGTATCTCAATTTAGCAGCTTATCCTCTAAAGATAATACGTATGTGCGCCGACATTATATTCTTTTCATAACTTTCTTCCAGGCTTGAACATTATTTTCTAATTAGCCAATGTTACTGAGCCTCGACTAAAAATTAGAGTATATTTTTTAGAAATGTTAGTTGACGATTTTTTTTTATATAACGAATAATTTTTGTTATATATTTCGTTCGAGGTTGTTACAGTCTTGACTTTCTGAAAACATAAACACATTATGCGTTTAATAATACTGTCCTCGCGCGCGCTCTCGGTCTTCTTCTTGCCACTCTACGCCAGTCATAGATACGTCGTTGGATAATTACGTCGTCACGGGAGAGGTTTTTCGGCAGTTTTGTATAAAATCCGACTTGTTGAAAAAGCGTGGTTTTCGACGGACGAGCTACTCATTTCTAGCGGATGATTCTCTGAGAGGATAGATGCGCGCCCTGATGGAGAGCTAGTCAACGCGTTGCTTTTGCGCGCGGCATCTTCCTCTCTGTCTCTCGCTCTTTGATTCCCACCGCTCTTTCCTCCCCTTTCCGTTCCTCCTCGCTATATCTTCTCTCTGCTCGTTTCATGGTTTGTAAATATTACCTGCCACGAGATGTCTGCCGAGTTTATGTTCGGCTTGGTTGCCGCGTAACCGAGAGAAAGAGAGAAAGGGAGCCGAGCGAGCGATACGCGAAGAGAAACCAGAAAAGGGAGACGGTAGACGAGGGAAACGTAACGAGAAAGAGAGAGAGAGAGAATGGCAGCGTGCGCGAGGGACGAGAGGCGGTGGATGGAGTACGGGCAAACTCACTGAGTTTTTACCCCATTCTGAAGTCTGAGTGCCTCGCTCCGCTGACTCTCGAAACGGGTTGCGGAGGCAGAGCTCCGCAACGCACCACCACACCACAGCGATTCCCTGGGCTGCTGCTTTTCCATCCCCTTACTCGCCATCTCTCTCTCTCCCTCTCTTTCTATCTTTCTTTTTCTTTCCTTTTTTCTTCTAGATTCCTGCCTGGCTGCCTTCCACGTTCTTTACAGCCTTATTCCATCCCCCTCTTAGACATGCCCTTACCAACCTTTCAGCCGAGACCATCAACTTACGTGGGCTGCCAGGTCAGGGGCGGATCTCGCGACATGAGATTTTGGATAAGACATCGCCTTTTGGGATTTTCTACTTTGACCGTATTGTGTTACCGCGTTTCATCAAGCTTCGTCAGCCCTTTCGTTAGCGCGTAACATCAACACCGCGTAGAGATGACGGTGATTAGATGCAAAGGATGACGCGATGCTTTTCAAAGCAAGCTCATGTTATGCTATTTTCCTATAAATTAAAGCTGGTTTTCTATAAACTTTTTAATGTAAATATTTTTTTCAGATACTAAGACTTTCAGACTCTTTCTAAAACGGGATGTTTGCGCGCGTGGAATCGTTCGCTCGTAATACAAGATATTTGATTATAATAACATCGCGCATGAAAAAACAAACAGTTTTATTCTGTGTGATTTACTTTACAAAAAATAATTTTAAAAATGCATAATGAGTCTACATAATTTAATGCATCGTGATTATTCTTTTAGCATTAAATATTTCACATCTATTTACTCCTTGTATTCTTCGTTATTTTACAGAGAAAGATTATTAAATTTCTAGCAAATTAACGAAAGCTATTTGTAACTCATTTCATTAACTGATCGTATAAAATCCACATCAACATTCAACACGCGAGTACACGCAGCGAATATAATGCCTGTTTACCGGTATTACTAAACTGCGTTACTAAACAGATCATTAAGTATATAGAGATGGAAGTATAAAATTACATATCCGTATATACATTATGCTTGTGTTTATGAAAGCTCTTCAATTCGAAGTGGTATCAAATGTAGGTTTGAAGCAAACAACATGATACATCGCGTTGTATGATTTCGTTTCTTATCGGTAGAAATATACATCAAAGCGAGTCGTAACACCCTTGTGCAGCTGTAACATTGTTAAAACATACATTCGCGTTACTTACAATTCCGAAAACCACGGTATATGGACGCAACGAAAGTAGAACTTATCATTATACGTGTTGCAGTGGTAACCCAACGTTACGATCCGGAAGTGCAGAGTCCTAGCAGTTTCCTCGGCAACAATGTACTTATGCGCTGCAACTTGCCCAGTTTTGTTCGCGATCACGTTACGGTCACGTCTTGGCTCCAAGAACCAGTTTTCAATATTTACCCTTCCACAATGGGCGGTAAGTAATGAAAAATACATATTTATAGATACGTCTGCATGTTTTAATAAGCGTTTATTTTTTAGTATAACTATAATTAACATATACAGATTTTCCATTTAAAAAATAGAATAGAGTGTGTGTGTACATATATAACTTCAAAATTAAATAGAAGCTTTTATGTATACAAATATCGAGTATATTATCGTGAATTAATTATACAATTTCATTATTGGAAAATAGGAGTTGTATTACATGACGTCATTTATGTGCGCGTTCATATAAACATGTAATTTCCTTCCGATCAATTTAGATTTTCATGATGATAGAAACGTAATTCAAACCCGATGCGCGCGTGTTGTTATAGATGGCAAATATCATATGTTGCCGAGCGGCGAGTTGATGATAATCAATATTACGCGAAGCGACGCGCAGATGACTTATCGATGCAGAACGCATCACCGGTTAACTCAGGAAACCGTCGTCAGCAGCAATGTAGGGCGGCTGCAACTGACTGGTGAGTACGTCATAGATTTTTCTTCCTGTATACAACAGGATGCCCACCTCCACTGTATTGTTTTCTGAGGGCAGGTTCTTCGATCATTTGTAATCACTGTTTGTTTTTTTTTTAATAAGTAAAATATTAATACTGATATTTAAGATTGAATATGATAATAATCGAAATTTAATTAAATGAAGATTTGCCTCAAATATAAAACAAAAATTTGGTCATAATTTTGTTTTATTTGTTATTTTCAATTATTTTCTCTCCTGAAGCTTAGTTCGTTAGGAACTCTTCATCTTCTATCACTAATTACTCGAAGACAATAGATGCAAATTTAAGATTAAAATTTTATGAAGGTTTATTTGTGAAATCAAATATAGAACATAGTTTTATTATTCATTATTTTTAATTAATTTCTCCCTTGAAGCTTAGCTTTGTTAGGAATCTTTTATTTCCTATCGTTAATTATTCGTAGACAATAGGCGCCTCAGTAATTTTCTCGTCGAAAAATTCGACTGCAAATTTGTCGATAAAATTATTATTAAAATACAATGCGTTAAAAGTTTTGGATACTCGTTATTCATATCACTATATGCGCGATCTCATATTCTTGTTATATAACAATCTTGATTCAGGATTAGTTAGTTGACGTAAAATCGACAGAAAAGAGGATCAGTATTCTATTTGATTGTATTCATCGCGTTTTAAACACAAAGACGAGTTTGTTCCGACAATTATTAAATTTTTCAAAAAACGTAAATAGAGAAGAGAGCTCGGATATAGGATATCCGTTGTGCTTGTCGAACGTAAATTCCGGTTCCGCCTCGAGCTGAACGTATATATCGGACGTATGGTGGAGTTTAATTAAATGTTTACTTTACCTGCACCCAATTCGATCGATACCGCAGTAATTATACTTGCCATTTTTTTCATTTGAAGCAAAAGCAACCAAGAAGAATACGATGAAAAGAGAAAATTTGTTCCCGGAACTATCGAGAACTCAATACACATCCGCGTCATTGAAATTTTTAATAAAAGCATTCAAAGTTTATGCAAATCGACGATCGTATGTTTATATATTTATTTCTATTAGGAAATAGAGGAATATTTTTAATCTTAGTCATTTATCGCATCTTCGACATTTAATGAATTAATATATGATTAAACGAGATCGTTAAGAATCAAGGCATCACGAAACAGAGTGGATAATTAATTTCAGAAGACATCACCCTCGTTTTTTTTTTTTTACGTTTGCGTAATTTATTCTCCTATTGCGTCCAGCACATTAACTCGGATCTTGCCTCGCGATAGCGAGGGCTGCAAAGAAGGAAGGTTGGAAGATAAAAACAGCGCTTTTTAACTGCCGGCGCGAAACTGTCCGATCGACTTCTTCGACAGCGGTCCATGTTTAATTATATAACGGCTAAGGAAGTGACGACGGTATAACATTGTGTAAATTATAAGGGGGTTGGATAAACGCGCGAAAAGAGGAATGGAAAGATGGAGGAAGTTATCCCAAGTGATCTGGAAGTAATGGCTTTTCTCTTCCCTTAGGATATCATATCGCGTTCGAAATTAAGTGGAACTTTAATCATATTTATCCGCACAAACGCCAAAGACAAGCCCTGGCGCTTTTACCTTTCCTTTCTTGGTAGAGTCCTATCGCGAGATAATGATCGATCTGGTAACGTCGTATCTTTCGGAGTTGTTATAAATACATCGTCCATCTATTACTATTTAATGCGCGCGATTAAAATTTAATATCTAATATATACCACGCGAAAAGTAAATATAGAAATAGCGTTTGTAATGAAATATTGATCGTGCTATTTTAGCGTAGTATCCTCATTGTGAAATCTTTTCGCCAACTTTCTTCTTCCTCTTTTTTCATCCTTTTCCCCATAGACAATGTTCTAAATTTTCAAAACTCCGAGACAGAGAGAGAGTTCGAAAACTTTTAAACTAGGAAAATCTCTCGTGATATCGCGAATTTCGGGGGATGTGCGACTTATTTAAAGTTTCTTGTAGAGCGAACGTAGTTGTCGTGATTTCATATGCCGCTTTCCACACATATGCTTTTGAAATAAAATTCTTCATATTGGATTGGTAAAATTGTTTCGGTAAATGTTTACACACAGAATAATATCAATTAATTAATACCATTATTGTAAATTTTGGCGAGCTTCATAATTATCGATATTAAATAAACTCATGTTGTTCAAAGAGGTCCCCAGTTGGAAATTACCTCGATAATATGACGCGATTTAACCAGGTACGATGATGTTTGGAACCCATAACCGGTGGGCTGCTTTAGTATATTCCTAATCATACAAATATTTCCAACGAACGTCAATTAATTATCGTTATTCGCTCGTAGGTTAATTACCTCGTGTATCATTTGACAGGTTGCCGAATAAACGATATTCGCTGAAAGCCTGACGGCAATCACACAACCAGGACAAATGTTTATCTAAAGCGAATCGCGAGAACAAGAAAATTGGTAGAAATGAGAACGATTGATTTAAAAAGTTTCAAGTTTAACCACTTTTATATTTCCGATAGCTGAGATTTCTTCGATTTTCTATAACAAAGTCAATAATTTAAATTGTAATAATAATCATCGCGTCATATTAATAAAATCTCGTCAATAAAATAATATAGCAATAATAAAATAATTTTATAATACGAAATCTCGACGTTCTTGAGGTATTTCCGCAGAGGGGGAGAGGGATGGAGGACGGCGAGAGAGAGGGAGAGAGATCGCCGTTTGTGTGCCGCCGCATAATCAGGCAAGAAAAACCGATCCGACGTGCCCGAGCAAGAATATCTCGGCGGACGTTGAAAAATTCACGGGTTTCAATTTTCCAGAAACGTACGCGTTCGCTCCGTGCACTCGTAATAAAGCTGTTACACAACCCCCGCCCATTGCCTCCTGCCACGCAGGAGTCCCTCCACTCGCAAGATAGAAATTTATGCTAAGCGCACTTAGGTAGTTAATAACTTAATAATAAAGTTTGGGGGGGGGGGTGGGAAGAGGAGGGGGCGAAATTTGATCGTTTGCATATTTCGGCTCGCGCGCACTCCATTTTCCATTCCCCTCTCTTTCATCTCCCCCGCGCCTTGGAGAGACTGGCGTATATTCTACTAAATTAACCAAAACCTCGATGTACATTAGTTTTACGGAGTAATGAGGAAACTTTTCGGCACATTATCCGCGTATAAATCCCAGTAGGGGGGCCCTGCCGAATTTAGAAATTTGGCGTAAAGTTAACGTTCATTGTACTCTCATATGTGGAAAGATATCGCGTGTAATATCCAGGACGCGATCACGTAAAACAATTTCGGTGGTGTTGTACGATTCGTAGTGCTATATGAATGCCATGGAGTGGACGTTATGTTATGCCTGTTTGATTTATTGCGGATTTTGATGCTGAAATTTTATTGGCGTACGCCCTTGTAGAGGGATCGTCAAATTTCAGATTTAAAATTCGAAAATTTGGAAATGCCATAATCGATGACGATAGAATTTATATTTATATATTTTTCTCTACTTCCCCCAAAATATCACAAGGTTTTAGTGTTCTCTTTACTATACTACATAATTATTTACAGCGAATTATTTGGATCATAAAATTTTTCTTTATTAATTGAAACTTGTAATTTAGAAAGGATGTATTTATATCAGAAAATAATATGTATAATATTAATTAATTAACATTGACGCGCAATATTGTATTAACGTTCGCTATTAAATTTAATCATATTGCGAAATCAAACGACGGCGTACACAAGCTATGTGCGACGTATATAAACGTATCTCACGTAAACGATAAATATTTTTGTCGTGACGTGCGAGAGGTATGTATAACCGTGCCCGTGCGAGTATTCGTCCCGCTGTAATCCAGCGCATTAATTCCCCGTTAAATGTAACAGCACGTATGCGTCGCTGTCCACACATCATTTGATCGCGAAATAACACACGTGCCGAAGAGGAGGGCACTTGAGTATCTATGAACGAATCAATAAACCACGCTGCATTTCTACCGCAGATATGCGCCGGGCAGATTGAGTGGCACGATTTTAACACAGTGCGACGCGAAAATAAAAATACCTACATTTGTAATTGAACAAATGGAATAACCGCGCGGGGGGCGGAGGTGGAGAGGGGGACGCGTGATGCGCGTCGCTTTTGATGCGGAATTAACGGCGCATCTTCATTCTTGCTGACAAACGCGCGCGTAATTCGCCCCGGATATAGATCTGTTTAATTATAAATTCATCCCGCGCGTGAGAAAATTTGAATTTTCGAGCGCGACGGGGCAAAATTAACCGTGCAAAAGTATGTTGGGCGCAAATTAGGAACGTCCGACGATTTATGTAACAGTTACAGTTTTGGCGGCGCGCTAGCAAAGAATGTTATAACTGCGCCATGCAAACTCAATTAACGAGAATACACAATTTAGTCTTTATTTTGTTAAGAGAGTTGTGTGTTATTATGCAATCCCGAGATGTGAATAGCGTGCGAGTAGTTTGCGAATAGCGAGATGTATATATGCGCGTGTTGCATATAAATTTCTTTCAAAAATATCATTTTAATATTACATTGACTCAGTTTGGAAATAAAAGGTATCGCGAAATTTCACTCTAATGTGAACGGAGTTCTGCATAGAACGTTGTCGGACGTTGCCGTTCGAGCGGAACATAATTTCGCCGACAGTTTTGATAGCGCGTGACGTAATTTCAAATTCTCGCCAAAGCGCGCGGAGATATATCGTCGTTATCTAACGTGGTTCCGCTTCATAGTGCGCGCCGTGTCGTAAGACGTGGCGTTATCTGCGACCATAACTCCCCATTAAACGTCGCGCGCTGGAAATGCGTGCGCACAGTGTCCTGTTTTTTTTTCCCTCCCTTCTTCCGTCCGTGTTCTCCGATCCTCCGCCATCCGGCTTATAGGGGTCTCGCGCTTTTCTTTTCTCCCGTAGACAGTAACGATTTATGAACATATTTTCCGCGTATCATGCGGCGGGGACTAGCCCGGAATCGATTCTCGAACGAGCGGTGGAAGCCGAGCAACGTTCCGCGATTTAATCTCCGATTTTACGCTATAATTGAATTTACGCGTTTCTCGCGGTGTTTCTATTTTGCAGAAATTCGAGGCTCCATGCCGCCTATAATAAATGAGAAGCTAGTGTACATGTCGGCCCGCCTAAAGGACACCGTCGTCATCCCTTGTGTGGCTCATGCTAATCCTACCCCGACTAACAGGTAAGTTTTTTCATTATTTAAATTGCACTCGTATTTATTAATATTACAAATCATTAAGTTGTTTATATGTTGTAGATTAAATATTATGGGCAGATTAATAATATCTATATTTAATTTTATTAAATATATAAATTAAAATTAATAATTAACAATTAATTAATTTAACAATTTAATTATTAACAAAGCATATTGGTACAGTGACGATCCCTTGTGTATTTTTATGTGTGCTCGTGCGCGCACATCTCCGGATCGCGTATGAAAAGTTGATTTAAATAGTTATCTCGTAGCCATATTATTATTAATTTTGTAATTCCATAAAACGCCCATAATTGAAATTTAAATGTATTTTTCTCGTCGACCTTTTCACGTATCTCGTTTCTCTCCTTTTATGTATGTCCTGAGTAACGCTCAGATACGCAATTAAACGATAAGCAGGCATCTACTTTCCGCCATGCGCGAGCGATATCGTTAAGTAATCTGCATGCAAAACGTATGGAACGCAGTGCGGGTGAATTAAAGGCGATGTCGAAGATTAACAAGACGTTTTCGCGTCGCACCCACGGCGAATACGAAATACGCGGTCACGAATTTCGTTTATATCACGACGGTTTGATGCGAGCAGCAGTTAATAATGTGGAGCGACCGCGACAAACGCAATAAATATTGACGATCCAATATTAGGATGAAACTTGCGAAAAACACACAGCGCGATCATTTCAATTCCGCTTTCGATTTTACACACGAGAATATAAAAAGCGTATAAACGAACAAGAGCGAGTCAAATGCTGTGTTTTAAAAGAATACGCGATTATTATCTTTTTAATAGGAAAAACCGCTCTTTATTCCGTAATTTATATATTTCTGTGACGAATTTCTCTCTCTCGTTAACACTATTTTCAGAGGAAAAATTAAAAGTGAAAAATATAGAGGCATAATGTTTTCCTTTTATTTTATAGAATTAATATGCATATATTATGTTTAGCAAAAGATAAGATTAAAATTCATTACCTAAAATAATACACACGCACATTCGTTGCGAAATCAAACGCGTACGATTTAATAGTGGTTTGCGCTCGAGTCGAGTGAAACTGCGGCCGACAGTCGTGACGAGGAAATTGGAATCTTTGTGCAAACAGAGGAACATGTGGACGATACTCATTCGCTACTAGACGGCTGTATGCTATGTCTCTCTGTTTTCCTTATATTAATGCTAATTTTAAACATAGATCCGGCCGGAATATTCCGCGCGATATGAGTTTCTCGCACGGAAACGCGAGGACGCTTGGAGTTCACGGACTTAGACTAAAGATAAACTGAACAAGAAAACAGAGTACGAACGATAGAGAGACTTCTTTATCCCCGCGCACCTTTCATGTATTAAATATTACGTTAACGGTCGATTCTTTCGAGGTATGTATCTTTTCTCTCTTCCAAATCGCTACGATGTATTTATCCATGGGAAAAGCGTGGGAGAGAAAGATGAGATAGCGGGATATAACGAAGCGACACGGAAATTTCGATCCTCGTTGCACGTCGATACAACACGCTGCTGGTGAGAAAAGCGACGAGTGGCTCTCGAAACTTGTTGCGTGGGCGGGGAAGTGTGTTATTACAGCGGATTACGCGATTAGCAACTAGTTTGGTTCCATCATTGATGCCGCGAGCGTCGTACAGAGGATCGTGCGGTAATCAAACTTGCGTCGAGCGGAAACACACGCTGTCGTGTGCTTCTAGCAAGAGATACTTAAAGAGTTACGGATCGAACGCGAGATACCCGCGCGCGATCGATCAAGAATCTTATCACGCGCGATCCTGCTCTCTCGTTTTATTTTATTCTCGTACGAGTTTGATGAAGATTCTTTTTCCTTCTCTCCCTCTTTCCTTCTTTCTCATTCGCGTTGTAATATAAAATGAAAATTTCAAACGTCGCCAGCAGAACATATCGACGGAACTTTGATCGCACGCACGTGAAATTTGTAGAATCGATGCGGATAGAGCGATGAGGTTCTCTCGCTCTCGTATACGCGTCTCGTATTCGTGCGTACGTACGTATGGATGAGCGTGTGTCGATTGGCGGCTCTACGCGCGTCGCATGCGTGCGACGCGGGTAACCGGGGGATGAACGAAGATAGTCCGGAGATATATAGACGTCGGGAGAGCTGTATGGGTAGCGCAAACAAACCGACCGCTGATTACAGAGACTGCTTCTGACAGCCCATCAAATATTCCGCATTTACGTATACGTCGACGTCACTGAGTATTCCATGCTTGTGTTCATCAACCGCTTGTACCTTCTCTCTCTCATCCTGTCATCCTTGTCCAACCTCTTCTTCCGCGCCGACTCTCTTCTCCTTCTCTCTCTCTCTCTCTCTCTCTCTCTTTGTCTCTCTTTCTCATCCTCTTCTCCTAGATATCTCTTCCGCGAGTTGATTTAGTCGACGGAAGAGAGCAGAGGAGAGACCGGAGAATCTGGAGATAAGGATAAGAGAATGGAAAGGGGGAAAGAGGAAGAGAGAAGAAGAGAGAACAGATGATGGACGGAGAGATAGAAGACGAAGATGGTGAAGATGGAGCAACGGCAAGAGAGAAAAAGACAGAGAGAGAGAGAGAGAAAGAGAATGGAAGATAGATAGAGAGAGAGAGAGAGAGTTTGAGGGTTTGCCGCGGCGCAGAGGCTTCCATCTTTCCGGGTTCCCTCGCACTCGAGCATCCCCGTATCCCATCTCCTTCCCTCGCCAATTTCCCTCCGTAAATTCGATTATCTATAGGTATACTCCTCATCCCTGTGGCTCCACTTCTGCCGCTCTGGCGAGACGCGGCTGCCATCCATCGCTCGAACTCTCTTTGGCCTCCTCCTCATCGTCTTCATCATTCTCCTTCTCGTCGTCGTCATCGTCGTTCTTCCGCATCTACTCCCAGATGCGGAGTAAGCAAGATCCCGGACCACTATGCTTTAGCAGATTTCTAAGCCACGTGGGGCCGATCGTCGCATAACAGAGAGAATGAGAGAGAGAGAGGGAGAGAGAAAGAGAAAGAGAGAAAACTACGAGAGGGATGATGTTGAAGCTAATGGCGCGTTACGAACAATCGCGAAAAGATGAACTGGCTCCATTCGGTTTCGATAAACTTCCCGTAGGGCGATAAGGGATTTCGAATTGGGATCAATTTCAGTATTGACAGTATTTAGATAGCACTATTCGGTCTATATATTGACCAATCTTTTTCTGTTTTAATTGGAACATTAAAAGAGATGCCGCCGATCAATTTTATCTATGCGTCACTCGATTTTATCGAAATCAATATTCAAGAATAAACACGTTTTATATCAATCATTAAACGCGCGCGCGCGCAGAGTATTTATTTTTCATATATTTTTTAATTAATCTTTCTTGATTAAAATAATTTTGTTGCAGTTGAACATTTTTATAACTAGAGCATTAATTATCTTAAATTTAAATAACCAGCGGTTTATGCGCTGATAGTATTTAAAAATAAGTCGCTCTATTATTAAAAAACTGTGTATTTTTTTAAACTAATATCTCATTTAATTAGAGAAGAGGGTTATATATGTGTTTGTACAATATATTCGCGTTATATTAAAAATTCATGTCAATCCGGCTGCGCAGAAATACATATGCGAGTTTGTTAAAAGCGCGGACGGTGCTGTCTGACAATGAGAGCGAGCAGGAATAGCGGCAGCTTGAAATTTTCATTAGTGACTTTGTTTGTCGCTGCACCAACGTTGTAGTAAAGATATCGACGGAATTGATAAGATGATGAAACACTGCTGTTAATTTACACCTCATTCATTTCTTTCTATATCATACAATTTTTGTATATCTTGCTAAGGTCGATAGTAACGATATATGAAATAACACGATGATGCTAAACCTCTCTGCTTAATACCGTGAATTGATTGTTGTGGAAGATGAATGGAAATTCGTCGAGATTGACACACGTTCTTGCGTCGATGTCGGTGCGCATTTCACGTCGTTGTGGTCATCGATAAGGTCAAAGGTCGCGCGTGCTCGCCAAAGATCGATCGGATTATCCTCTCCGCTGAGGCTGGCTTAAATCGAGGCAACCGCGAACGCCGTTTGCATTTTCAATTAAGACGGACAGCCGAAAGCCGGGGAAGTTATGCACGATCTCGTTTCGTGAAAATCGCGGAAAATCGATCCGCGATAATTACTCAAATAATTACGCAATAGTAATACAGCGTGTTTTTAGCGCCGGAATGTACGTATTCCCTCCTACATTGTAAGTCATTTACACGGTAAAGCTATTTAAATCTGTAGTTATTTAAATTAATGATTCATAAATACACATTTTAATGATATTTTTGTTATGCGACTGTGTGATCGCGCGACGAATATTATTAAAATGTATGCCCTTTAAAAGTAAACGTTTTGCAAGCGTGCCTGTGCTCGCGTATCTCTGGCTGTGTCATATATATGCGACAAGTAGAAACGAGAGAGAAAGAGAGAGAGAGAGAGAGAAAGTATAGCATATACAGCATATAAACCGTACAATAAGGGGCGAGTAGGTGGGGAGGGAATGCATTTGGCTTTACCAATGAGGAACAATAGTTGTTTTGTGTGCAGCGGAGAGATATGCGGTTTCGGACAGACGTGCGCACGTAACGCGTAACATTCCCGAGATCTCGTCGGTTAGGTAACTCGAGATAATAATAATAATAACGTCGTAGAGCGCTTTGACGAGAGCGGGAAATAGTAATTTGCATACGCATTGCCGAGACGCGCGCGCATGAGCTGCGGGGTACAATGTATCGAATTTTCGAATGTCTGCTTATGTCGTTTGCTCAGACGAGACAGTCCGATAAAATGACGGCTCGATAAAATCGAAAATCGCGCATTAAATGAACGAAGATTGTTTCTCTTTTATCTTTTTTCATTTTTTTTTTTTTTTTTTTTTTTTTTGTTTGTGTTTCAAAAGGGAAACACGATGCGATTACGAAGCTTATGCTCGGTTCAACTCGCTTCTAAACCAGCTCTCAGTTAGTCAGACTAACTTCTCCGTGCCATTTCCGCATTGTTTATTATTTTTCATTTTTTTTTTTTTTTTTTTTTGCGTAGATGGTACTACAACAGGAATCAGAGGGAGGAACCGATCGAGGAATCGTCGGGACATTACGTAGTGCGCGATGGCTCCTTGATCATTCAGAGTATCGAGGAGAACGATGCCGGCTCGTACATGTGCACTGCCAGCAATTCCGAAGGCAGCGAGACTTTGGAGATCAGATTAACGGTGTCTGCGCCGCTCAGTGTTCACGTGCAGCCGGCGATACAGACCGTTGATCTGGGGAAATCCGCCTATCTGGTAATTGATTGTCAAATCGATGCCAATCCACTCGAGAATAAAACGTACGTGAGGATCGCGGATAAAAGGCTTCCATATAAAGTAACTGTAAACTCGCAAGAAAAAGTCGAGCAAATTGAAATAGAAATAATTTCGTTGAATCTAATATTGAGATCGTGAAACGCAATAGTACGGAAATAGATATAAACACCGTAGAGCCCCTCGTAAGAACTCTATGTATCCAAATAATCCGAATAATACGGCTTCTTCGATAGATCGTCTACAATATCGAGTACTTTGATTATGAATATTTACCGCGGCGTTTTCATCTGTCTATAAATACGGTAAAGCGCTGTCGATGACGCGGGAAATGAATCTCTACCGTGCCGGAAATTAATGCCAGTCGTGGTACGAATGCGCGATTCGAGTACACATTTTCAGGAATATATAGATCTGATTTTTCTCTCAAGAGGAGACGAAGAGAGCTTATATTCCCTCTCGTTTTCACGCTCGCGGGTCTCCTTTCTCGATTCTCATCAGTTCCTTCCGTCTAAACTCCTTTGCAGACGTGCACCGCAAGTGGATTTCCGCAGGCGGCACTCTATTGGCTGAAGGACGGTCAGCCATTGAGGACGGGCGCCCGCGTAAGGACCGTCTCCAGCGAGCGTATTTCCGTGACGTCGGTTGCGAGAGAGGACCGCGGCATGTACCAGTGCTTCGTGCGGAACGAGTACGAAATGGCCCAAGGAATCGCAGAATTGCGCTTAGGAGGTAAGACATTCTGCTTCGCATTCCAGATATTAGTGTATATCGCGATATCCGCCTTCTTGCGTCTTGACTGATTACAACGATACTCGTAATCGTCCGTCCTATACGCTCGGAAACTCAAAATCTGTCTAATAGGAAGACCTTGCGGTCACGCTGGATAAAATATAATTAATAAATTAGATGGCAATTTTTTTCTTGAGGAACTGAATTTTATAATTGAAATTACATAGAATAGTTTATAATCACCATCAGAATGGTTGAGAGATTTTTAATTACTCGACAATTATCTTGAAATCGAATTATCGTTATTATTACGAATATAACACAGGCTCTCCATAGTTAATTTGTCGTTTAATTACAGGAAATATTTATGTATAAGTATAGTGCCATAAATATTTGTCGATTCGAGTAAAAGAGAGTTGCGCTTGTTTGCTGGAACGAGCTGTTTCGTCGGCTTACCGTTAGTTAATGCCGCACAACTCTCCCCCATGTACGGTCCATTCTACGATTCGCGTGCCATTCCATCGTAACGCATTTTCCATCATGAGGCAGCACACGACTTTCCTGCAGGCTACGTGCCATTTTTGTTGGAAAGTGCCCTCATCTCTCTTCC